AAGACTCCAACAACACCCCCAGGGAGCTGTAACACTGTTTATTTGGCCACTTAGGACAGTATGTCAACATTTGAATACTTGTGCTCTGTTAGCACTCATTAGTACTAACGACTCATTCCTTCATGCACTTTCCCATCTCCACTCACAACCCCAGTTTAAGTAGGGTGGAGGTACAGAGACATCAGCAGGAGCAGTGCTAGTAGCTGTAGTCTGTACAAAGAATAGAAAGAGGATAGGTTACACATTTCACACTGCTGTGAATCTGTTTATGGGTTTTAGTACAATCACTCTATTAGAGCATAAAAACAATATATCAGCCAATGTTATTTTATCATGTTTATATTGGTTTTATATGTGTATTGACCAGTATGGGTTTTTCAGTTGTCAATGTGGAAATTTAGAGGGCAGGGAGGATGACGACCAATATATAATTTCAATATCATGTTTTTTTTTCTATTTTGCACCAAAAAAAAAGAATTATGAGAATAGATTTAACACTAATGAATTATAAAAATATTTGGATTATTTCAAGTATGTGAAAACAAAAAATGAGAATTGTGTCAGTTTGCTGCATGCTGGAAAATGTCCACAAGTAATCAAGACATTTTTTGTTAATTAGCATATATACTGTATATGTATATATATATACTGTATTGGGTAGAAATATAAATGTAGTGGAGTAGAAATATAAAGTAAACATCAAAACATACTTAAACTTCTAAAAGTACTAAAAGTATTATGCAGAACAGCACATTCCTGCATATCATATTATTGTATGATATGCATAAGTACTGATGCATTATTGTGCACATCACATTTCATGTTGCAGCTGGTAAAGATGGAGCTAGGTTTACTAGTTTATATGCATTTAATTTGAATTACTGCTGGAAAGGAGGAAAGGAGGTCTTATAATTATACTGTATTTTTAGTATTAATGTGGTAATGAAGAGTAACTAGCAAATAAAGTTATAAAATAAATGTAGTGGAGTAAAAAGCACAGTATTTACCTTTAAAATGTAGTGAAGTCAAAGCATGAAGTAACAGAAAATGAAAATACTCAAGTAAAGTACAGATAAACTAAAATTGTACTTAAGTACATTACTTGAGTTACTTTCCACCACCGCCTAAAACAATATGTTTAGAAAACCTGTGCCTGTAGCTTTACCAGCAATATTTTCCACTGGAGTGTTCTGGTTCACAGTTTAGACTGATGGGATTCCTGACTTTGCTCATCTCATTTTCTTGAAAAACATGAAAAACAAATGTCTTTGATGTAAGACATGATAAATGCATTTAAATATGTTTGTAAAAACATCCTGGTAGCCTAAAGGAGACTTTGCAACCTGATTCCACACATCTCTGCATGAATATGTTTCTCACTGGTTTCAACAGTTTCACCATTATAGGAAAAAAAGTCGGATCACATTATATTTCACTCTGGCACAAATCATAACTGTCAGTCAAAAATTAATATCAACCCCAAACCAAAGTCACCTGTGGTTAACTTCAGCAAAGCAAACAATATCCCATTAACTCATTGGTATGCTGGACCCACCCAGACTACTGTATGATGTAAGTGGAAACTAATCAGTGAATCAGTGGTAGCTCTGTCAGCACATCAGCTAGAAAAGGACTGTTTTCCTGTTAGCATGAACAGCTGTCCTCTTCTGGGAATGTGTGTTTGCATGCGGGTGTGTTGTTGTATGTGGGTGTGTGTGTCTTTGGCTCATTTAAGCTTGACTGTCCAGTAAACCTGAGATTTACTCCCTTACATCTGTATTCAGTTCCTTGACAGCTGAGTCCACATGCTGCCAGAGAACAGAGCTTACTGTGCTCACTGAGGATCCAACCTCCACATGTGTCTGTGAGAGAACCAGGGAACAAAAGAAAAGGATATAAATGTTAACCTATTAAACCTGCACTAATCAGTCTTACTATGTTAATATAAATGTGTAATGTTAAAGATGGATGGTGATGTGCAATGTCAATGCCACTCAATCTGCAGTTCCCCTCAGCTCTACTGAGGATTTTAACATCTTTCAGCCAACAAGTCCTCCAACCTATATGACCCACATAGGTCAGGTTCCCCTTCCTTTTTCATACAACCCATAGGAGCATCTCCTGAAACAGCATCACTATGTTGGAAGTGCAAGAACTCTGCCAACATTAAAGACAAGCTACATTAAAGATAATATACATCACAACAGCATGGAAACAGTCCTAAACACAATGGTAAGCATAGCGCAACTCCATTGTTTTTGAAAGTGCCAGAGATATGCCATTACAAATACGAAACTGTTAGGGTTTCATCATGTTTTGTCACCTTTTGGTTAGATTTAAGAATAAACACTACTTGGTTAAATTTAGGTACAAAAGGTACTTGGTTACTTTTAGGAACAAAAACTGCTTAAAAATTACATCACACACTGGATTTGAACTCGCTCGTCTGAGGGAAACTCCTGTGTTTTGTGTATCTAGCCATCAACGGACCTTTGGCCTCTATATATTACGTCAACTAGCTTAATCTTTTGCTCATGTCATAATTACTACAATCGCTAGAGGTCGAATCATAAGCCTAAATGTTAGTCATAAACAACCTGCTGGCACAAATGATCGACTGAGTGGTTATCCACAGCCTCCTTTCAGCTTGCTGTTTTTTTCTATTTCTGGCCAATAACTCTGATCTCAACAACCCTGTTTTGAGATGTTGCAGACAGCTAGTGTTTAAGAAAGTGGAACATCTAGCTGCAGATACAGTATTTTTCTCAGGAGCTGGTGGAGACCAAAATAGAGCTAAACACAGAGGCAACAGAGTGGCTGAATGGCAACTGTTTTTTAATATCTTTGCCATAGCTACTTTAAAAGTTGATAGTACGCCAGAGTTGTGTTTTCTACGTGTTCCTCTGCCCCCAAGTGGTCAA